ACTTTAACACTCAAAGTTATTCCATCTGCACAACTTTTCCTTCACTTGAGAAAAATAAACTCATATAAAGCATTCATATGATGCCGATCAAAATTACTATTGCACTACTTCAACAATTTCTATTGCAAGACTTTGATTGTTTAACAACATACGAAAGTCAACCTCATTTCAGGTGAAGATCAAGTGGCGCTCTAACTAGCCTACATGACCAACACCTTACTTCTTAAAAACTCCCAGGTTGAGTGGTGAAACCGAAGTTTACTTAAAAACCATCTTCCTAGACAGAGTATTCGAGAATGATGACTTTCCCATGTTATCACCACAATGTGAGTAAAGCCTTGAAATTTAGTCTCGGTACATAATTCAGATATTTGAGATTATGTTACTGTAAAGCATATATGTATCTCATCAAATGGTGCAATGTTTGTAACATACCCACAATATAACACATAATGTTATAAATTCGATATGTGCATAAGTACACAATTTATAAACTTTAAATCAGTTTGTCAATTTAATCACTTAGTAGTAGTGTTAAATCAACACTTCTAACACAACAAAATCATAAAGCTCATACATGCGAATAATAACAATTCACTTGTCCTTGTGTACACCGCTGTTAATTTTCTATATAATATTCAAAGCACTCACCATATAAAATATGAAATGGTGATTTCTAAAAAGCTTGTCACAATATATATTTCACGTTTCAAATGCTCTCAAAACATAATAATAAAATGGATGCAGGGATAATATATGCAAACCATCTTCTAAATTATGTCATTATGACAATTTTAAGGGAATATGATCAATGCCCAATAATATATGACTACTTGTGCTCAAAATAATCATTTGCATATAATAGTCTGTTATCATATAAATATGCATGTATCATATTAAAATATGAGGAGACAATTAGACAAACCTCATCGGAGTATGGTCAAAGCTCCGATATGAACCCAATAATTATTTATGTTGTACTCCCTTGCTTAAAGGTTACACATAAGTCGAAGCAGTGTGCTTCACCAGTATTGTTCTGCATGAAGCTGCTGTCGTCCACTGCTGATCTTTGTTGTTGCTACACCATCGTGTCGCCATAAAATTATTATAATATGCTCCATGATTCGAGTAGTTGACTGTTGCTAAAATAACGCTTTTAACTGTTGGGAAATAGTCGCAACATCAATGCGCGATTTGGAAGTCTTTTAAGGAGCACGGACATTACGGGTGTATGGTTGAAAGGAAATTTGTGCCGTGTTATAATAACACTACCTTAAAAGCGTTATTTGCCCGGTAACAGTGCAATTAGAACTCTGGCACGCTTTCGACAGGCTACACAAACTAACTACGCTTAGTTCGCACCAACTATAGCGTAGGCGAACCTGACTTTGCTCAGACCCAGGGAGATAAACCTCATATAGAAGTGAAGGCTTTTTTGAAAACCGTGTTTTATAAAAGAGGAAGGAAGGCTGCTTATATACTTATTAGTATAACAGCCTCCCTCCTTCTAGCCACAACTCATAGCTAAAAAAGGGGGAACATGTGGTTATGTAATTACATGACCACAATTAATAAACAAAACATGGGCCACAATTCTAGCTTTAGAAAGAACGTGTGGTGAAGCTCTAATACATTGAATGTATTTCCAACATGGTCTCCTCTACGGGAGCGAGGATCCTGTGGAAGATAAAAGACGATGTTCTCTTCATCCGTTATTGTCTCTCGTCATGGGGCTCCTCGATAGGGCATATCTATTGGGAGGCCAACATGTCTCCCCTGCAATTTTTTGCTCTATCAATGCTTTGCCTGTAAAAGTCAATTTGGCTCTCTTGTATGATTATGGGGGTTTTGCTACCCACCGAGCTGTTGGCCATTAATAAAATGCATTTTTGCCTAAAAAAGAAAAACACTAATATTAGTAATATACATATACTAGGCAAGACAACATAGTAAATTCACGGATTAAGGCTCTGTTTGGCAAACCTAGCTGATAAGCTAAGAGCTGAAAGCTAAAAAGCTATAAGCTCGAAGCTGAAAACTGAAGAGCTGTTAAGCTAGCTGTTATGATTGAAAGTGTTTGGTAAAATTAACTTTTTGATAAGCTGATAAATGTAAAAAGACTAAACAGAACATCTTTATAAAATTTAAATTAGTTTGTTTACATATTAAAATTTAACATTTTGTCTTTAAAAAAATTAACATTTTGAAATAAAATTATTAGTATAATCATGATCTTGCATCTCATAATGAAGTAGCAATATTGTTGTAAATCTCATAATAATAATAATAATAATAATAATAATAATAATAATAATAATAATAATAATAATATTTGCAGATAAAGGAGAAGAGAAAAGAATTTTAATTGGGAAGGGTAAATTATGTCATTTCTTTAAAATAATAACGATAAAGATGGAAAAAAAAGTTAGGAAGCTAGGAGCTTATTTTGAAAGCTACCTAAAGTAGCGTTTCAAAATAAGCTCTTATTTTAAGCTAGGAGCTTATTTTAGGAACATTACCAAACAGAGCTTATAGCTTATTAGTAGTTTAATATAAGCTATAAGCTCCTAAATAAGCTCGGCCAAACAGAGCCTAGTGTTTTTTTTTTCTTTGTTTGGGTTATAAAAATTGGAATACTTTTTGTTGGGATACAAGCATAGAAAAAACAACACTAATGGATGCATGTTTACTTTTTTCAACATGCATCTCAGGAATGCATTGTTGTCTTTTATATATTTTTCTTACCCCACTGAGTACGGTATGTAAGAATGGACAGAGGTTTTGTCTGGGATGAACTTAGTAGGGGATTTTTCAAAGGAATTCGGGAGGAGATTTCATAAAGGAATTTGGGAAGAGGTTTCCTAAGGGACTTGGGTGAAGGTATGCGTAAGGGGAAAATGGCTAGTTATGGGCATATGTTTTGGAGAAAACTTGTAGGGAAAGAATAGCATTTAATGCTTGGAATCCCTAGGCACATGGGTTCTAGCTTGAAAAATTCTAGACACATGGTTGCTATAAATAAGGCAACATCCTTCATTCATCAGATTATCCCATCTCATTCGAAATTTACAGAGAATATAGCAAAATTTTGTAGAGAAAAAATAGAGAGTTATATTTGTAATTCCTATTGTATTATCCTTTTGTGAATACAGAACAAAAAAAATTGTTGAAATTGTCTTGTTCTGTGTATGATTTATTTTTAATCTTACACTAGAATTTATTCTCAATATTTTCCAGTTCAAGTTGCTATTGTAAATTTGGTGTTGTGAACCCGTTTCGATCCTAACACGGTACATTACATGAGGATAATACGGTAAATAAATACAGAACTTACCTATTATAAATATCTTAAACTCAAATTTTATCCCACTTGTAATTACGTCCAACCTAATCGTTCTCCCTTCCATCAGCCAGGCGAAAGCACCCTCCATCTTATTCGTTCATCCAACCAGCCATCATAATTATATTAAACAATTATTTTTCATTATTATTAAACACTAATTACAAATAATTGTTAATTACATTTAACTTTTTAAATTATTATGTAATAATTATTACATATTAATTAACTAATCAAATATCATGTCAAAAAAAAAAATAATTAACTACCTATTATGCTTTATAAATAATAAAATAATTAAGGAATCAATAAAGGTAACAGCAAGTATACGTATATTACTACATTTTTCCATTATTACAACAATACTATACATATACACATATACCTATATTTTTACCTTTCAACTAATTTTTCCTTAAAAAAACTAACATGCACTTTGGGAGTCCATTTTTTCTTCATCAAACATGCATTTCATGAATTCTCTTTTCCTATCTTTACACACTTTCTAAAAATGTCCTATTTTTATATCCCAAAAATGAATTACATCAAACCGTGTTTATGATTCCACTAGCAATTTATATCCTACACCATAGCGCGCGTTGCATTGTACGCCCAGATACAAAATGACATCGTTTCAAACTTTTTATTATTTTTTAAAATTTCTCGTCCCAGTGTTTGGCAGTTAATTTTTCTTTTAAAAAACTCATGTTAAAAAATGTACATAATGTTATACATGAATGTACATAATTGTATAACAAAATATACATACTGTCTTTTAAAAGATAATACAAATAATCTAACATAATACATAATAAACATAAACTTTTAACATAATACACATCAACTCTTAACATAATACACAAATTTCCTGATTTGGATGTACATGATTGTATAAAAAAATGTACATAATTGTATAAAAAATGTACATAATTATATGAACAAATATACATACTCACAGCAACCTCCTACCGCGCCTCCCAAAACGACATTGTTTTGGGAGACGCGCAGTGCACAGTGCTACGCGCACCGTGGTGTAGGGTATAACGATTGGATTCCACTAGGCAAGCCTTTGCCAAACTAAAGTCCGCCATTTGATAAGACGGGCTAAAAAGCCCACTATTTTGAAAAGCCTTAAAATTCAAAACTCAACCCATCTTTCTTTGCATGGTGAGATGTTATGCTAAGTCTGTTTTGAGAGATTTATGTACAAGTATGAGTTGCCCAAAGCATATATATTTTTGACATATACTAGTTCATCAGGCTCTGACATGAATATTGATACACTAATAAATAATGAACCAAAACGTATAATTTAAGACATAAAATTAAGAACGATCCTGATGAGTCCACAAAAAGAAGACAACTGAGAGTAAAAAACAGGAAATGGAAGTATACATAGTGCTCACAATTCGCTAAACATAGCGATGGATTTATTGAGCATTTCATTAAATTTACCTGGGTTGCGTATAACGAAGTCCATAAAAAGATCGGTCAAATAAACACCAGGATTGTCAATGTGGTGGTTCAGGTGCTTAATCTGTTGAGAGCATCTGTCCCTCAACTCCCCTCCGAGCCAAACATAATTACAGTGGTCTAAGTTGAGAGATTGAAGGAGAGGACAAGCATCAAGGATGGCCTCCACGCCTTTATCTGTCATAGGATTTCCATCAAGTGTAAGGTGTTTCAAGCCATGCATGTTTTCTGCAATGGCAACAGCCTCCTCATCAGATGATCCGTTTAGGAATCCACTTACCTTCTTGATAAAGGAAAATGAGTTGAGGAAAGGGCAAGACTGTCCAGCAGCTTCAATTCCTTGTTTAGAAATGTTAGTGTATTCAAGTTGTAGCTCCTCCAACACTGGAAACTCATTAACAGCTTTACTAAAACCTTCATCACAAACATGGCTGGACCTAATAACAAGATGTCTCAGCTGTTTTGCTCTGTATAACAACAAAACTAAGATTAAGGAACACATACAGCAAGGGATTAAAAGAAAACAAGAAACATATATATACCTCTGAGCAATGTAGAAGAGCAGATCATCAGTAGCAAAGTTGCCTAGTTTGATAGAAATAAGTTGCCCCTCACTGCGATTCACTACTTCTCTGCAAATTTTATCCCAGTCCCGTGCTTTACCCGCCGGCTCAGCTTCTAGATTCCACAAGTCCACATAGCGCCACATGGAAGGGTCTTTCCACAGCCTCCACCACGCAGTACACACCTGTGCGCTCTGGAAAATATCCTCCACACTCAGCCTTTGCAGAATGTTTGCCGTTAACTCCCGCGGAAGTTGCAACCACGACGCTGCTGGATTAGCCATTGTCTGTATTGGTCACTGGTGTGGTGCTAATGGAGGATCGATTATCTATATATAATAGCACGGAAACAAACTCGATCCACGGGAAATTGGCTTTAAATTAATGTTTTCTCTCAAAAGAGCTGAGGAATCGTGGCCTCCAAGAATTTTTGTTTATCGTAGTATTATGACCAATGAAATGAAATGTATAAACGCCGGTACAATTCTCGATGAGCAACCCCAAGTTTTTTGGGAAAGGGAAGAGAAGAAAATAAGAATGTGTTTGGTTCATAGATTTACACATTGTGTGGTTTATTAATGAATACATGGAAAATGTATAAATAGGCGACTGAACTATTTGGGGGTTAGCAATTAAGCCACCGAACTCGAATAAGTTTCAAATTGATCCATGAACCTGCAAAAGAAGTGCAATTAACATTTTTAGTAGGTTTACCAACAAGTTTGTGATTATTAGGATGCCATGTGTATTTTTTATTTTTTAGTTTATTATTATTATTATCCTACTAAGCATTTGACTAAAAAAAAAATTAAATTAGTGTAATTTTTAATTTAAAAAATTAAAAATTTTAGTTTTAATTTAAATATTACACACACACACACACACACACACACACACACACACACATATATATATATATATATATATATATATATATATATATATATATATATTTATTTATTTATTTATTTAATGGGATGATATCGGTGCCAAATAGGAATGACAATTTGTCCCGTCCCCGATCCCCACCCGACGAGAACGGGGATGGAAAAAATTTTCAGGGAACGGGAACGGGGATACCTCTCCCCGCCCCGTCCCCGAATAATTACTATAATTAAAAATAAATAAATAATTTTTTCCCATATATATATATATATATATATATATATATATATATATATATATATATATATATATATATATATATATATATATATATTAAATTAAAATTTAAGTTTTTAATTTTTCAAATTATAATAATTACACTAATTTTTTTTTTTGTTGGGTCAAATGCTTAGTAGGATAATAATAATAATAATAAATTAAAAAATAAAAAAGATACACATGGCATCTTAATCATCACAAACTTGTTAGTAACCTTCTAAAAATGCTAATTGCACTTTTTTTGCAGGTTCATTGATCAATTTGGAGCTTATTCGAGTTCGGTGGCTTAATTGCTAACCCTCAAATAGTTGAGTGGCCTATTTGTACCTTTTCCCATGAATATAATATTAATAGATATATGTGGTTTATAATTCATTTTCTATTCCAACTTTTTTAATCTACTTGATTATGTCTCATATTTTATTATAAATATTTTTATAACATTTTAAAGTGTTTTAAAATTTTGTCTTAGTTAAAATATATTTCTGGCCGCGGTAATTGGAAATTTTATTTTTTAATGTTTTTCTAAAGAAATGGAAAATTAAAAGAAAAAGAAAAAGAGGAAAAAAAAGCCATGTCTTTGTATAGCTTTTTTTAATTGAAAATAGAGAATTTTTCATATTTTCTTAGTAATACTGATTCAGTTACAATGTAATATCCACAAAGAATTATTACCATTTCCTATGACAACTCATGACCTCCCATTTGAAAAAATCACTTCATGTCACTTAACTACACGCACAAAGAATTTTTCATATTAAAACTAACAATAATATATGTAATTTTTTTTTATTGGGTCAAAACCCAAGCATCATTTACTACTTAATGTATCCCGCGTTTGAAGAAGCACCAAGCATGAAGTTATGAACATGTACAACTTGGCTCGTAACAAGGTCCACCCTACCTTAGGCGGCAATTTATATCCTACACCACGGCGTACATTGCACTATGCGCCCAGATGCAAAATGACGTTGTTTTAATTATTTTTTTTTTTGAAATTTCCTGCCCCATTGAATGGCAGTAGGCTTTTCTTTAAAAAAAAACTCGCTGTTCAAGAATGTACATAATGTTATACTTGAATACACATAATGTTATACATGAATACACATAATGTTATAACAAAATATACATACTCTTTTTAAAAGATAATACACATAATCTAACATAATACATAATAAACATAAACTTTTAACATAATACACATCAACTCTTAACATAATACACACAAATTTTCTGATTCGGATGTACATAATTGTATAAAAACAATGTACATAATTGTATAAAAAATACACATAACTGTATGAACCAATACACATAACGTTGTGAACGAATACACATAATCTCAGCAACTTCCTACCGCGCCTCCCAACACGACCCCAAAACGACGTCGTTTTGGGAGGCGCGCGGCGCACAGTGCTATGTGCGCCGTGGTGTAGGATATAACGATTGACCTTAGGCCTGTCGGCCATGGTGGGGGATGAATACTTAGCATGGGTACCCAATCAGCACTACTAGTCAACTAGTCGGGCCTTGCACTTGGCACTCCGCACTCGAATCATGACTAGCTAGTCTTGGCAGCTCCAATCATCCTTGGTAATCAATCATTCTTACAGGTGAAAAAAATGAATTATATGACAATCACGTGATTAGGCAAGTTAACGTACCCATATAAACTAGCTTCTTTTCTAAATATAATTTTCCACTTTATATCATTCCCATTACCTAAATATCTTTATATCCATGAAATCTCTTTTTATTTAATTTCCTAAATTCCTCTATTTCCTATTAAATATTCCACTCAACCATAAATATCCGATTACCATAAACATATCATATTACCATATGTCTTATATTTCTTCTACTATAAAAGGCCCTAGTCAGACACAAGAAGAGAGAGCTCAACCCACACGCCATCTTTATCCCTCTACATCTCTCTACATCTACATCTCTCAAGAAAACACAAATTGTACATGTACTGACTACTTATAAAATATAGTCAAATTTTGGTTTAGCACCGCCCAAAAAAGCCTGTGGTTTTTACCTTTCGATTTCCACGTTAAAAATATTGTGTCTCCTTTATTTTTCCCTTTCAATTATTTATTTTCCTCCTCTGTCAAATTCCTCTCTCACTTTTTACTTGGTATTTTACGGTCATGTTGGCCCGCCGCTCAGTTACTCTGTGGCCGTAAAACCAACTGTGGGCTCTCATCAAATTTTAAAATTTTTAATTTAAATAAAATATAAAAAATAATAAATATTACGGAGTATATATAGAAATAATTTAAACCGTTTAAATATATACATTACTGTTAGGAATATATTGTAAATTTTGATGAGCCGAATGTATTTTTGAAAAAATCAAGTAGTCCCCATTTTTATTCTATTTGAGTCAGTTTGAGTCTACAAAGTATGGTGCACCCACATCATGCAACCCATGTACAAGTCTGGAAGATCATAATTTATTTGAAGAAGTTAAGCGGGATTATAGCTTAACACAATTATGATGTGGATAAGTTACCAAAAACCATGTTAGAGGAGTTGGATGATACGTGTGTGAGTTATGCCAAATGATCCTAAGTTCAAATCTCAAGAGAAACATTTTTACCTTGCTTGGGAGACTAGCTTGGAGACTGGCCAAACTGGAGACTAATCAAGGTGAATGCACAAGTCTCACAAGAGCCATGCACCAGATGAAGAAACACACAAAGAATGGTGGACCAAGCATAAAATCGAAATAGAGCATCTCACCATGAACAAACTATGAAGTTTTTACAGAGGTTCCAATATATTGTTTTACAAGGATCATGAAGGAGAAAATATCTGATATATTTTCATATGAACATCAACTTTTTACGGTGGAACCGGAGACGCTTGAAGAAGGCTGATTCACGGAGAAATTATTTTATACTCAAGCAAGAATCAGCAGATAAATTATTTGATCAACTTGACATGTCAGAGCATTTATGAAGGACAAGAAATATCAATATTGCCGCGCCGAACTTATTCAAATTTTGGAGGCTACAAAATTCAAGACACGGCAACGGGCAAATTATTCAAATCATCTGACAAAAGGAGAAATGACATCTACCTAATATTTCAGATCAAGTTGACAATATCTTTTGATCAACTACAATTCAAAATGGACGATCGAGATCGAAAGTTGATTAACGGGCAAATGGCTTTCATTGGCTATAAATTGCCCAAGCAGACTTGAAGACAAATAGACACTTGAAAAAAAAGCTGAATACGAAGAAAATCCAATCAATCATCAAGTGATATATTGAGCTATATACAAAAGAATTCAAGTCTGAGTGAGAGAAAATTTTTATCTCTTTGTAGATTTCTCTACTGAGTGTAGAAAGAGGGCGGAGTAACTAGAGAGAGTGAAAAACCCTGGTTGAGTGTAGCTTTGTGCGTAGCACTCGGTGTAAAGGGCAGAGTAACAAGAGGAGCTTGTGAAAACCCTGTGAGAGCGTAGCTTTGTGCGTAGTTCTCGTGGTGTAGGAGTACAGATTGGTGCGAAGTACTCGGGAAGGCGGAGTAACAAGAGGAGCTTGTGAAAAACCTTGGAGGAGTGTAGCTTTGTGCGAAGCACTTGGAGAAGTGTCGGTGGACACTTATTCACTATTGTATCTGGGTGATCGAAGAATAGTGAATTTCCTCCTTGAAGTGAAAGGAGAAGAGTGGACTAGGAGGATTACACCACGTCTGAACCACTATAAATCTCTCTCTCTATTTACTTACTGCTCATATATTTTGTGCATGCTTATTCTAACTGTGAACTAACCCGATTACGATTTGTCGCATATCTTTATCTGTCTGGGTTTGATAGTTCCCACGTTTGCATGCAAACCAAACTTTGCGTACATCATCCTTGAACCATATCAAGTGTTTCTAACGTGTTGCATGTTTAGAATCTATCTTTGAGCACCGCACTATTAAGCATAACACTTTACCGCTACCTATTCCGCTGCACACTCTAAGTTGTTTATCTTGTTGATGCTTGTTACTTAGAGTTGAAATTACCAAAGTGTTATTTGCCTTGTTTGTTTTCGAAAAAAGTTTGAAAAGTTAGAGAAGTCTATTCACCCCCCCTCTAGACTTCTCACCACCCTTTCGGACCAACAAGTGGTATCAGAGCAGTTGTCTATTTGAGTCAATTTTGACGGCTAGATAGATCTCAAAATCTTCAAGATGAAGAGAGATATGGTTCTTGCTCAAAATCTTCTTTTCTCACTTAACAAATTTGATGATTGAAAAATTCGGATGCAGGTGCACTTATCTG